AGCAACAATGTACAACAAAACAGCAACAACATCAAGCCACTGACAAAGAACAAATTAAAATATACCAAGAAAGAAAAGCTTGTGTTTTCCAGTTTTAACAGAAATATTAGAGGGCACCTGATAATTGAATCTCACTTGAAAGGGAAGTGATGAAACAAATTTAAGCTTCAAATGTGTGATTTGGTTTGAGATTATTAATGCTCCTTTACATTTTGAGAGTTTACTTTTCTAGTTGAGGGGTTACCCATCTTTGATCTATGGAGTTCATTCAATATTAATTTTAGTCCCATGGTAAGAAGTAGGTCTTAGTTTTTCTGTCTTGACACTTGTGTCAGTAGGATGAACAAACAAACAAACAAACAAACAAAAACAACCAACCCCCCAAACAAGTAGAATATTTCTGGGAAGATGGTTGCTTGACCAGGTCTAAGATCCCAGCCCTCTTCACTGAATATTCAAAAAGTCACCCAGAAGTCTGTAGTCAAGCCTGTAAGAATTCTGAAAGTGTAGACCAAATACAGCAGAAAAGGAGCAACCAACCGAAACACAACAAGGGGGCATTTTACATTGTGGGGGATCTCTTTTTCCACCCTCTTTGCCCTTCTTTCTCTCTCCCAGTGCAGGCACCAGGCAGCTGTAGAGGGGCCTTGAAACAGACTTCAGATAAGTAAACTGCTGTCTTATCAGAGACAAAGAAGCACATTAAATGATGATAGTCAATTCATTCAGAACATATGACAATTACAAATAGATATATATCTAACATCAGAGCCCCAAAATATTGAAAGCAAACACTGATAAAATTGAAGGGGGAAATGGAATTGGATGCTTTGATACACTATTTTCAATAATAGTCTGAGAATCTAGAAAGATCAATAAAGGAATGCAGAACTTAAATAACTTTATAAATCAGCTAGATCTAACACACATATATAGAACGCTCTGCCCAATGACAGCATTGTTAGGGAAGAAGATACATTCTTAGTATACATGGATATTTTCCAGCTTAAAAGGCAAGCCCTAATAAATCAAGAAGGCTGAACCCTTGCAAAGTATCCTATTAGATAACAATGGAATTACACCAGAATTAGTAATAGAAGGAAAATTAGAAATTACAGAATGGAAATTAACTACCATGCTATTAAACAGTCAATGAATGGGTCAGGGAAGAAATAAGATAAATCAGAAAACAGAAGTTGAATAAAAATGAAAGCACAGTATACTAAACTGTATGGGCTGCAACGAAGGTGGTGCTCAGTGGAAAATGTATAGTAGTAAATGCCTATTTTAAAAAAGAGGAGAGATCTCACATCAGTAACCTATCTTCACTACTTGAGGAACTAGAAAAAGAGCAAACTATGTCCAAAGCAACCAGAAAGAAAATAACTCAAATGAGAACTCAGGCAAGTGCAAACCTCACTGCCACTGAGTCAATTACAACTCATAACAACCCTACAGGACAGAGTAGAACGGCCCCTGTGTGTTTCTGAGTCTGTAAATCTTTATAGATATAGAAAGCCTCATCTTTCTCCCGTGGAGCGGCGGGGGTTTTTGAACTGTTGCCCTGGCTGTTAGCGGTCTAACACATAACCCACTATGCCACCGGGGCTCCTCAGTAAATACAATACACTATATTAAATAGGAAAAAAGGAAAGAACCACATGATTATCCCAAATGACAAAATCCAACACCCTTTCATGGTAAAATGTTCTTTCATGGTCAAAAGTATGAATTGAAGGGAAATTTCTTTCTCCCTTTTTTTAATGGGTTTTTATAAATTATGAATTAGGTGGGGGTTTACATTTCAAATCATCACTTTGGATTCAACAATTTAAACTCCTTATTAAATTCCTCAATAGCGACCTGGTAGGGCAGGATCAAGGGGAACGTAACAAAGAGGAAGTGCTGAAATCCTGGTGGGGACTGAGCATGATAGTGGGACAGGAGGAGAAT